TGCTTAACCTGAAGAAGAATGTCGAAGGTCTAAAGCTTTAGGCCATGGAGCATGGAGAATAAAACACACTCCCCATTAAGGGCTCTTCATTATGTTCTGTAATCAATTTGGGTTGGGTCTTTGGGGAAACGATTGCTTTCTGAAGAAAATTCTCTGTCATTTTAGTGGCAGATATTGAAGAGAAAAATACAATATTTGTATTTTATACCAGCAAGTTTCCCTTGCCAGCAGTGTTGTAAATATTGTAATATTTTTTAATTTAATTATTATAAACTTCAATTTGCGCTGAAATAATGACTTCATGAATGTGAAATGTTTGGATACATTAAAGGAAAATATCTTCAGAGCTTGAATGGAATTGGCATATTCATTTATTTGTATGGTTGTCATAGTTGTTTTTTGCAGATGTTCTCAAATATTTCTTTGAAACCTCTCCACGCCTGTTCAGGAATTACATGGTTTAATTTGCTGTATGTAGAAAGTGGCCTGGTTAAACTCAGTTTTGAAATGCTGAGTTTATTCCTGCTCAGTGGTAGGAGGTTTTTTTCCTGAGAAGGTTCCACTGGTAGGAAGCTAAGTTTTCCCCTGCTGTACAAATATAGAGCAGGGTTTCAGAAAGATGGTCGACATGGATTCTAAGGTTGTTAAAATGCAGATTTCCTGTAACATTTACTGGATGACTTGCTTTAGGGATTTAGAAACAGTAAAGACAGGCAACAGAACAGTAGAAGAGATAATCAAGAAAACTTCTTTGGCTTCAGTGAATCCCCAACTCAAAATCAGAAATATTTTCTTCAGTTTAAACTAGAAAGGTTTTTCAGCATTATTTAATATTTAGAACAATTCATACTTGGTTAAAATACATAATTGAAAACTTTCCCTGTTCTTGCTGAGTTTTCTGTTATAACTTCTTTCAGCTTTTTCAGGTCTTTGGCAGTGATGCCATCACAATTGTTGATTATTTGGTAGGCTGACTTCTTGAAACTGACTAGTGGCCTTTGTTCATGTATCAGTGACTAAGATGTTGGTTTCTGAACTAGACTGAAAAACCTGTGGACACTGTTAGGCTGAGTTAGAAGCAAGAATGGCTGGGGCAGAACCATTTTTGGCAGGTGAGCTGAATTTGCTAGCCAGATTATTAGTGTCTTCATCAATAAATCATCTGATTAGCAGCTTTTCTGAAGCTGATGTGTTCTCTTGTTCTACCGTGTGTTGTCAGTTTAAATTACAGGGGTTTTTTTTTGGTTTTTTTTTTTTGGTTTTTTTTTTTTTTAAGTGGAAACCAATAGCATGAGATATTCTACCAATACTGTTTTTAAAAATTTGGCTGACAATCACCTTGTCATTTCAGAAGGAGGGTATTAGATAATCTATGTCTAATTACCAATATGAGGAAGCAAGAGAGTCAGATAATGGTTTATATTAGTATTGGGGATGTAAATCCTTTAAAGATTCACCATTTATTTTGGTAAGTTATCTCTATTGAAGGTACTCAAAACAATTCAGTCTTAACAAACATTGGATGTTACTTTGTTCTGGTGCTAGTCAAATCCCATATGAGCTGCTAATTTCACTGTACCTGACCCAAAGGGTTTAAATCTATATATATATTGCAGTTTTGAGAATGCAGCTAAACCAGAAATCTCTTAAGTGTTTTGTGATTTAGGTTAATTATACTGCAAATTTAATTTTATTCTGGGAAACAGATTTCATAATATTTTGAGTGAGTTTGCTAATATTTTAGTCACCTGTAAACAGTGGTTGGGAACTGGAATAAGTTTTGTACTACAGTGTCCAAAAGGTAAGGTTTTTGCCTTGAAGCACTGCATCATCTGAGGAGGCTGAGTGCAACTCACAATGCCCTCATTGTGATAAGAAATCCCAAGAAGGGTCTTGGTACCTCCTGTTTCCCAGAAGTGCTCTTCTGCAGATAAACTTGCCTCAAGGTTGGTGCTCAGTCGTCACCGTCCTTATAAGCTTTTCCTTGAGCATGTGTTTAAAAATAGAGCACACATCCCTCCCTTGCATTCCTCATCCTCCTTCCCTGCTCTTGAGTTCTCCATAGCACCTGCTGGCATATGAGCCTGTTTTCAGTCTCCTCTCACTGGAGCAAACTGAGGGCAGCGATTTTTATTCACTGCTTTATTCCCAGGATCTAGAACAGTATACCCAGCCTTTGGCATATGGTCACTTAAGTACAGTGGTCCCCACCTTATCTGTGGTTTAGCTTTCCACAGTTTCAGTTACCTGAGGTCGAGCTCAGTCTGAAAATACATAACAGGAAGTTTCAGGAATAATTTATAAGTTTTCAGCTGTACACCTCACACTGGGCATGAATCATCTCTGTCCATCCATTAGTCACTTAGTAGCTGCTTGGTTATCAGTACAAAAAAAGTGTATATAGTATAGGGTTCAGGATAGTTCTGTCTGTGTAGTTGGAGGCATCCACTTGAGGTCTTAGCAGCTCTGGGTCAGGGGATGGCCACAGAGTATGAATGAATGGATAGATGGGAACAGTGGAACCTAGACTTAACAGGTTAACAAGAAAGGCCTGAGGGGTCCCAGGTAGGAGCAAAATCATGAAGAGTTTCCCTGCTGTACTTTAAAGATAATTTATTCTGCATGATAAAGCCACTTTGTCAGATATTTTGCTACTGTGATGATTATTTTTTTTTTTTATGAGAGGGTTTTTTTTTTTTGCTGTAGGGCGCATGCGCTCGCCAGACAGACAGAGAGATAGAAAGTGAGAAATCACCCCCCATGAGAGATGGCTACACCGCAATCCCTTCTCCATTCTCCTCTTGGGCACGCACGCACACTTGCCCGGCGTGAGTTTAAGCCACCGGGTCCAGGATGTGAACCGCGGTCGACTACATGGGAGTCCAGCGACGTAGCCATTACGCTAACTGCTGGTCCCTACTACTGTGATTATTTTTCAAGTCTAAGTCACAAATGCTGTTACTATTTGCACATTAACTATGATAAACTGTCCACACCTCCATTGTGATGTCATCAGAACAAAGGCCACTAGTCAGGTGGACAGAATTCTATTTTGTAGTTGTACAGTTTCAATAAATTTATATTGTTTCTTCACGTGTTGGGTGGTCAGACATGTCTCATAATGCATTTTTTTTTTGCATAGAAAAATAGGTCATGACTTTCCTGATGACCTAATGTATTGACATTGATAGGGTTTTGTTTTTAAGTGTACTTGCTCCATATAAGAGCAGGAGAAGGTAAAAATTCTAATGTCCTTATGTTTTAATTGTGAAACATGGGGTGATTGTATGTTAAACCCATGTCCACTGTTGAAAGTAATGGAACATAGAAACCATGTAGAGGTTCCTCCTCAATTTCATTCATTCTTAGCAAATAACTCATAGGTATTATCCAGATGATTATATTAAGCACTTCCTTTCCTTTCATTACTTTTTTTTTAAATTTTTTTTTTTATTTAAGATAGGATCTCACTATGTTGTCCAGGCCAACCTCAAGCTCTTGATCCTGCTTTAGCCTCCTGAGTAGCTAAGACTACAAGTGGGTGTGCCAGGGCTGTCCCCCTACCTCCACACCTGCCTTTTTCCTACCTTCATGGTATCCCTAAGCACATCTTGTTTAGTTTTGAGCAACTGAGAATATAAAACTCAGTTCTTCAAGGACAATTTGTATTCCCATATATTCATAGAAGGTATCGTAGAAACAAGGAGTCCTGAGTCTGACTTCAGCTACTAGAGTTTATGAGATCCGTGTGTGGAGAGGTCTGTGCATGAGGTAGTGAGTGAATCCTGGGAGACAAATCACCACGGTTGGGGCATCTTGGATCTATAGAGATAGGCTTAGGGTCATAGGCTTGGTTTGTATTTTCTGCTACTAAGTTCTACATGACCTACCTATGTCTCTCAAGAGAAAATCAGTGCAGAACCTTCCTGTGGGGTGAAATAAGTGCCCTCAGCTAATCTAGACATCAGGATATATGGGATGAGGAGAAATCTTGCTAGGACTTGGTCAAACAAGCCATGTGTAGAACAGAATGGAAGCCAGTTCCTTGGATATACTATCCTGAGGCTGCAGAAACTGAGTCATCATGTTGTCATGGCCTTCAACATGTCTTTCCACACACCACTAGCCTAGTGGACTGTTATTCTGTCTCTGGTGCCCCCCAATCTTCCTGGAAATTCCCTTCTCCTAATGTTGAATTGCCTTTCCCTGTATCTTTTACTCACATTTTTGAAATGGGGTATACGAAATGTAAACTTTCTGAAAAGTTGGGTATCTGGAAATTATTCTACCCCCATATATGAGAGCATGACTGGTAATAGAATTCTAAGTTATAGATCATTTTACCTCAAAAATGTAAAGAGTTTTCTCCATTTATTTCCATTTCCTATTTTGCTGTTTGGGAATCTAAAAGCCATTCTGATTCATGATGGCTTGATGTAACTTCTTCCTCCAGAAGTCTGTAGAATTTGTTCAGAATTCTGAAATTTGAGAATTGATGCTTCTTGCTATAGATCCATTGTACTGGGTCTTGCCAACCAGAAGGCTCATGTCCTTCACTTCTGAAAATTGTTTAAAACTATTTTTATTTCCTTCCTTGTATTTTCTCTCTCTTGTCTCATGAACTCCTTTTATTTGGAGTAGGGCTGTGGTCTGGTTCTCTTTGTTTCTTTGTATTTCTATACTGTTTTGCTATACTTCTAGACTTCTACTGAATTTTTCATTTTTCCTTTAAGGTTTTTGTTTGTTTCTCAAGCACTTTAATTTTTCTTTAAATTGCTGCTTTTTAAAAAAATGTATTTTGGACTTAATTTGCTAAAGACTTTCCTCAGATCTTTGGAAATTCCTGTTTGCTCATGATGAAGATTGGAAGAAAAAGCACTGGAAATTTTGAATGTGTGAGGAACATTCAATGGCTAAGCTTTATTACAGGTTGGCCTGGATGGAATGTTTAGAAATATCCAAATGCCAGTTTCATTGGGTATATTTCTCAGGGGAATGGTTAGAGTCCCCGGAAAGTTTCATTCTGCCTTGGGGGAAAAGGTCTGGCATGCAGAGTTCTGGAAGCCAAGTAGAGGAAGGTGGACATGGGGATATTCTCTCCTTTCTGTGGCACTATTCTGGAGATTATTCACTAGATTATGTATAAAAGAGTACTCTAAAAAGTTCATGAAAAAATAGGGGCCAGCATGTGGTGTAGTGGTTACATGACTGACCACAGTTCAAGTCCTGGCCTGGCACCTCTCTCTCTCTCTCTCTCTCTCTCTCTCTCTCTCTCTTTCTCCCCCCACCCCCCCCCCCCCCCAGGCCCACCCACCTGCCTTGAAAAATTAAAAAAAAAAGTTAAAATAATTTAAAAATTATGAGAAAATGGGATTAGTTTATTTTGATCCAAAAACAGAATCTATATAGTTTTTTTGGTAATAAGCATTTTTCATTTACTTTTTGAACACCCTCTCCATATGTACACAATTATAGCCATGTATAGACATACATGCATATATCATCAATCCTCCTCATTCATGGATTCTCTATTTGCACATTGACCTTCTCACTAAAATTTACTAGTCCTAAAATCAATACTCTTTAGTACTTCAACATTCATTTGCAGACCTGTACTTGGTGGTAAAAGTTTGTCACCCCATACACATTTTCCCAGTTAAGGTAGAACAAGGTGAAACTCCACCATTTCAGCTCTAATATTGTAAACAAGTGTCCTTTTCATGGACTATATAGTGCCTCATTTTTTTCACATTTTTATCCTTTTTCTGGTTGATTTCACTATTTTAAGATGGTCACTTAGCATAGTGTGGACGTGCCATCTAGCTTTCCTAAGCCCTGTGAGTGCCTCAAGGAGAAAATACGTGCAGCAGGTAAGCTTCTTTCAAGTGTCAGTTACGGAGTTCGGCATAAATTCAATGTAATTGGATCAACAATATAAAGGTGCGTTTGAACAGAAACACAAGGCAAGTTTTTGTGTTGATATCATTGACAAATATGTTGGGATCTGAGACTCACAGGAACCTAACCCTGTATTTCCCTGAGGAGCAGTGATTCAGTATTGGCTAACAGTGCTTGTGGTGACTTCATAGAATATAACTACCACAGATAACGA